TAATTCTTTTAAATTATCTAACTTACCTTCTTTTCCTAGTCCCATCTCTACCTGAAAAAGTGAATAACTAGAACACACTCAAAATTGATTAATAAAAATAGTTATGAATTATTTTTTCTTTCAATTTTTCCATATCATGCTCAGGGTGAAGAAACAATCTTGTCCTCAATGGTTTATTACAGTTTTTGCATTTCCCCCCCCCCCTTATTATTTCTACCTTAGCTGTAAAAATTGAGAACCTGAATATAAAATTATCTTTATCTCATTTTCTAGACTAGAAATGTAATTTCTCAAATATGTTTGTTATAACAAATCCCATTACAGAAAATAATTTGGGTCATGTCACCAAAAGAATTAAAATGTGCTTTGTTGTGGGGTTTTTTTGTTTTTTAACAGCAGAATACTATTAAGTTGTTTCTTTTATTTTAACCCTTAGTAGCTAAGGTAATATATTCTACTGGATCTCTACTTGACATATGAGGGTAAGTCAAAAGTATTATTACAAAATCATAGAAACCTTTCTTAAACAAAAATGTCAAAATGTGAGGCTACTGTTTCTAGACATATCTATATTCTTCGGAAGGCAGTGTTTCTAGCTCTCTAATCCTCCCTAAAGAACCAACAGATCTGTGTTGGAAGAAGTGCAGCCAGAGTGTTCCTTGGAGGCCAAGATGGCCAAACTTCCTTTCTTATACTTTGAACATATTGTCAGGAGGAACCAGTTGCTGGAGAAGGATATCATATTTGGTAAGGTGGAGTAGATTCATACTTCATATATTCCATATTCTGATGATTAAAGGATACTTACTGTTTTTTTCTCATTTTGAGTTTTACCCCATCAGCATATGAAGGTCCCAAAAACTTTGCTCCACCCATGTCATTAAATTCAATTCTACCTTGGAGGCAGTTCTTTTCCCAGTCATATTTTGCATGCCTCCCAACTTGTAGGGTTCATCTTCTGGCATTATATCAGACAATGTTCAACTGCTACTCATAAGGTTTTCAACTGCTAACCTTTCAGAAGTGACCCACCTCTACTTCTTTTTCATCTGTTTTAGTCTAGAAGCCCCTGGTAGTATTTAAAATACTAATGGCATAACTTCTAGCAATACAGGAACACACCACAGTAGGAAAAACTGACAGACAATTAGAGGATAACAATATTTAATACTTACTGATAATGTGCTGTCAGTCTCTATTCTAGCTATTTACATAGATATTCATTTGCTTATTTCTCACAATAACCATATGAACTATACACTATGACCATGAATTAGTCACTGCTATAGGCCACAGTTTCTTAATTAATAAAGACAGGCTTTAGCATATGATTACCACATTCTTTTTCACATCTGATGATTTGATGATGAGTTCCACTTTGAACATGTCCTTCAGTCAACAACATGATATTCATATGCAAACCCAGAAATTTAAAATACAAAAGTAGTATAGGGATGAGAGATTCCCTGATTGCATAAGTTTAGAGAAACCTAAGAGTTCAGCATTAAGGAAAAGAGGGAACTCAAAAAGGTTAAATACAGATTACAAATGTATGGTTTTCAAATTTAATAATTAAGCATACTGAAAATAAATGTACCCCAAAATGATATCTGTTGTTAAGTGCTTTTGAATTGTTACCGACTCATAGCAATCCTATATAGGGGTTCCAAGGAGTGACTGGTGAGTTTGAACCATCGACCTTGTGGTTCAAACCAACCTTTGTGCTTGATCCCACAGCACCACACCAGGAATCCATTAGTAGAATGCAATTCTTTCTTCAGAAACCATAACATGGAAAAATAACTGCTGGAATATTATTTGATGATAAATGTACAATCTACCATACGTGGTAGTAGCTTTTTTGCTTAACATTTAAAATTTCCACATAATCTTTTGGAAAATATTAAATCCATATACTATTGCCCTAGTAAGAAATCAGGATCTATGCTATCTTCATCTAAACATCACAAGAAATTGGAGGAGAAGATCTTTGAAACGTGAACAGCAGGATATTCATAACTGTTTAAATAGGGTGATGAATACATGAAGGTTCATTAGTCTCTTCCCTTTGTATGTTTGAACTTTTTCATAATAAAAGTTTCTTACTATAGGTAGCAATACCAATGACTCATAGAACTCCATATATAGAAACTTTACTTATAATTATTAGTTAAAATCCTACATTTCAAATGAGGGTGTTTTATGGAACTGTAATTTCTCCAAAGATTCAGGTGTTTTCACAGCTTCAGAAGTTCTTACAGTGAGAGGAATTTCAGGAGTTTTTGGAAAATCCTCAGCCCTTTCTTTTACTTCCTTATTTTTATTTTCTACTGACTTCTCAAAGGGTTCTGAATATGCAGCCTGCAAATTTAAAATAACAGAAAATGATTAAAATGAATGTTATTGCATTAGTAAAATCATATATCTAAACATCTTATTGGTAGAAAATACCATATTAATCTCTGATGTTATTATTACTTCATAGATGAAATAAATAAAATAAGAATACTTGGTGAAAAAATACCAAATACATTTGTCCAAAAAA